CCATATGCTTTTTTCAACTAACAAAAAATAAAAAAAAAAATAAAAAAATAACACCGTGCTAGCATCAGAGAGCTGTGATAAGCCAATCAAAAGCAATCAGTTTCAGAAGGAGAACTAAACAACATTGCCATCTTGTCTTCCTGAATTCTGTTCTTTTATTGTCCTTTCTCCTTACTAAAGTTTTCTCATTCTCTTTTACTCGCAATAACACATGGCATAATTGTCTTGCTTGGAGTAAAATGGTTAAAAAAAAAAAAAAAAAAAATAATCAAGATAAGGATATTCTTCTGAACAGATCAGTGTGAAATAATACTAATTTCTTTTTTGTTTTTTTAAATCATCTCACCCCCAAGCAAAGCAATAAAGCCACTAAGATGCAAGGGGTTGCTGAGTATTAAAGAATATGTGAAAACAAAATCATTAAGGAGAGAGAACAATAAAAGAACAGGAATTAAGTAGACAAAAGATAACAATTGACATGACATTTAAATTTGATGATATAAATTTTATATAATCAAATTCAGGTGTTCATTTGACAGGCCACAACTGCTAACTTCGTATACATGAAACAGACTGTCGCCATTTAGTGTTGACCTCAGCGTCTACTTTCTATATGTAATTTTATTTATTTTTTTTTTTTAACTAAGTTTACTCCAAGCAAAGCAATAAAGACACTAAAATGCAAGGGCTAACTGGGTGTGAGAGAATATGAGGGAAAAAAATAATTAAGGAGAGAGTACAATAAAAGAACAGAAATTAAGACAGAAGATAATGATTGACATTGCATTTAAATTTTTGAAGATCAATGTTGACTGGAAAGCAAGAAGCCGGAAGAGAGTTCTGCAAGTGAGAAATGCAAGAGAAGAAACTAATAGCATAGAACTTTTGGTTGCATCTAGCCACTTAGGCTGTAAAACCTTGCCACTAATCTAGTATTGCACTTAAATTCATAAAAATCAAGGTACCAAAGAGGAAAGTTCATCAGAACAATTAGCATGAAAATATTTATAGAAAAGGCACAAGGAAGTTACATTATGGTGGTTGGAATGTGACTGAAGCAAAGATGCCAAGTTAGGACTGATAATATTAAAGATTCCACTTTGTATTTTATCAAGAATCTCTAAATACATAAAAGTACCAAATCAGCCATATTCAATGCATGGATGAATGATAGACTTATAAATATGTAAGATTCTTCACATTCTCTTCCATGCTCACTAATCCTCGGTATCTTAGTGGCTTTATTGCCTTGATTGGGAAAAAAATGATTAAAGAAAAATCTAATGACAAACTCAAATGTCTTAATTAATCCAGTAATTATTAAGCTTTGCTCCATCTTCATAAATGGCACAAACCTTTCAGGTTGCATTGCATATCTTTATCTTTCTTAAAAATATAATAAGCTGAAAATTTTGTATATAAATTTGTTACTTTGTGTTGTTATTAGGTTAGGGGGTCATTGCTTGAAGTTGAGAAGGTGTCATGTGTTGACAAACAAAAACCAAATTGAGAAAATCGACAAACACGAGAGTGAAACAGAACAAGATATAAATTTTTATTCTGTTGGCAACATTTTCATGTAGAGATGATTTTGAATTTAATTCTTGAAAGAAATTGTAAGTTCAAGGAATGTCCTTGTAAAGAATGAAGAAAAGTTCAACATACTCCGCTGGTGAATTAGAGAGTGAGTGAGGTGTATTGTCCACACTATATGCATCTATTGCATGGAGTGCTAATTTTAGCATCCTATCCTGATCTCAGTCCAAAGTGAAAGAGAGCAAGCCAATTCAGATCCACAGTTTGTTCTTTTTACACATGCCCAAAAGCTGAAAAGGAATTGCTGCTGCTAAGGATATCAATAAATGTGTGTCTAGCGAAAGGGTTTAACATCTACAGTGTCAAAATGTTTAAGCAGAGTACATATTATTTTAAGATTTAATATGTATTGCAAATATATTTTTAGAAAGCCTTGTCAAACTAGCATCTGAGATTGAAATACCTTTTTTGTCTGCTGTAACAATAAGCTTTGACATAAGTATTTTTGACCATTTTATATATATATATATATATGTGTGTGTGTGTGTGTGTGTGTGTGTGTGTATATATATATATATATATGTGTATGGAGAAAATGATATATAAATGTATAGGAAGTGCTGTAATCATCCACAGTAAATTTATATATAGGTTCTTACAACATTTCACCTTTCTTTTCTATTATCACAATGTGGGCTATTTAATAACAAAAGTGACAAAAACAAACAAAAAGCAACTAAATAAGATTGTCTAGACTATATATCCAAAATATATTTTTAAAAATTCAAATTTCAGTGTCCTCTCTCCTTCATATGCAAGTGTAATGGCATCAATGTGGACATCACTTTAACCTGATGAAATCCTAAAAGATGAAACATAAACATGAAAAATATTTTAAATTGTTATAAATTTTCCTAAGTGTTTTAGATATGTAACGTTTTTTTTAATCATTCAAATCAAGCTTATTTGGTTTGCATCATTTGTTGTTAGTAATTATATATATATATATATATATATGTATGTATGTGTGTGTGTGTGTGTTGTTTGTTTTTTATATATATATATATATATATATATATGTATGTATGTATGTATGTATGTATGTGTGTGTGTTGTTAGTTTATATTATATATATATATATATATATATATATATATATATATATATATATATATATAGTCTTATGCTTATAAGAGATATTCTTATATGGAAGATTTTTCTCTGTCTGATGATGAGGTGTGTGAGAAAGTTAGGAAGGGCCAGGAAAGAAACGTTGGGCATGTCAGATATGTACAGAATATAGGTGATAGTAACATGACAGTAAGTTGGATTTTAGAAGTGTATAAATTTACAAGTATATTAAAATGTACACAAAAGACAGAAGATTGTGAAGAGCCATGCTCCCCCATACTCTGAAATGATATGGTACATAAAGTAGACAGTTTATTCTACCAGTAATTTTATATAGATAATTATATAATCCTGTAGCATTAAATGAATAGAGAGAACGTCTTATATGCCATCAAATATATTTAACTCTTAACATTGTTTAAAAAGCGTATTTCACTATGAAAATTCTGTATTAACTTTGGGCATTACTTAAAATTGAATGTCTATGTAGACAACTCATTTTTTCCAGCTTTGTTTTAAAAGTAAGATGACTCATCAATTCAGCTGGATCAACAGATGTCACGTACAAATAATTCAATAATACATCTCAGATTCACTAATTATGTACTATATATTTTAAAGCCCTGACTAAATAAGTGTTCTATGAACAGAGAAAAGGAATTTGACATGGACCTTCTCTTACCTCTCTAACAGTTCTATATAAACATTTTCAACAAGACATCTATTTTATAAAGTTCTTTTGGTCATTATGTTAAGTCCACTTGAATTTCCTCTCATAGACATAGCTATATAGAACTGACAGCAATATTGGACTTTTGTGCCTGCAAAAAAAATGCAGTTTCAGAAAGAGGGTTTTCCCCTTGACACCACTATTATTTTAACTACCTTCACTCCTCTGCAATGTTTGTTTTAAAAAGCGGTAATTGAAATTGAAAAGTAAAACTTTCATAGAAACATTGCTTATATATGGAAATTTTTTAAAATTTGAATTAAAAATAACACAGATGAAATGTCTATTAAAATTTTTTTTTTTTAAAAATGGTTATGTAAATTAAATACTATTGCTTTTGTTTCAAATGCCATTTGTTAATAAATTAAATCTTTTGTATGTTAGTGGTAATGAGTTGAGCTGTTTTGTTCTACTAATCTAAGGCGGGGGACACACAGACAAAATTTAGCCTTAAGCAAATTCATAGAAGATTAGGAATGTCAGAAACTTAACAGGAATTAAGTGGTAAAAAGTAAAAAAAAAAAAAAAAACTCAAGTGTTTGTTCATAATTTTTATTCTGATGAAAAAACATAGCAGACCATAGCTTAAAAAATTGGTAGCATACCTGTATTTTTGGAAAACCATTTTATTCATCGTTTAATGTAGAAATCTAGGGAGAAATATATTTGCAAAGCATTGACCAGGTTATGAAGAATGTAGCTTTCTGACCAATATGAGAAAGTTGATGTTTGATGTTGACTTCTGGAGGTTAGAAATGCTTAATATAACTCTATAACTGTTTGTGGTAAAAAAGGAAAACCATAATTCCTTTTCATGCAGATAAAACTATCAGACATTTTGTTTTTTTATCAATGCTATTAATGTTCTCAGCTAGATGAAAGAAGAATGCAAATCTCAAGTGTGAACAAGTGGCAGAGTGTACAACGAGGATGTCTGATAAGATTCAAGAATCATTTTTTTTTGCATCTCTTCACTGAACAATATTCAGAGCTCAACTCAGGCGGCAATGTATCAGGTCAAAGCTTCAAGATAGAGGAGGAGGAAGTCTCAACTATCTCCATTTTTTAGTGCCAATTCAGGCAAGAATAAATCAAATTGAACAAGGTGATTACTTGGGCTCATTTCAGATTCAAGAATTCTATTTGGGTGTTCATCATGATCTTTTTTTTTTCTTTTAAATTATAATCTATTTTTCCCCCCCTTAAAATGAACTACATTGCAAGTTAGAAACTTACTTGAAGAAAGGCAAGCTCACTGAGAAAATGGAAGCCTCTGCCTTTTCTCTTCCTCTACCATCTTATTAGACAGATGATGAAAAAAACAACAAACAAAAAAAAAAAAAAAAAAAAAAACGAATGAAGTGAGAAAGAATTTGTTCCAGACAGTTCTTTACTTCCCATCGACTTTGTGGCTTATTGATGAGGAAGCGAAATACAAGTTAGGTACGTAGGTAGTTAGTAGGTAAGTTTGTAGGTAAAGTGGATGGTAGATGTTTAAAACTGACAGTTAAGTAGACTGAGAAACAGAAGTCTGAATGTAAATATGTTCATAGCTAAGAAAGTGTGAGAGAGTGAATGAGAGAGAGAGAGAGAAATATTGCACGTGTATATGGAATGAAACAGAGTATAGAAGAGAATGGATGGCAGTAGAAAAAAGAAAAACCAACATTGGTGTAGGAGAAAGAACGAAAAGCATTTTTGAGGATACAGAGTTAAGTACTCAAAATAGAAATGTTTATTTTTTATTCTCTCTCCTATTCTTGCTAGAATACATTCTGATCTTCTGACACGACTACAAGCCAGCAACATGACTGGTCATGAGCTAAAAAGCCTCCAAGAAGAAATAAAATAAAGACAGAAACAACAAATGTATCTGCAGAAATATTTATTCAACTATATTCCATTAATTTCTCTCTGAATTTCTGGGATGAGGAGCTATCATTATTTACACTATTTACATTTGGACTATTATCCTCATCTTTGTTATCACAACATTCTGTCCGTTTATTAATAAATAAATAGCGAGGCTATGCAAATGTGAGTATCCACTAAAAATAATGTTTAAAGTGAAACTTTCTATCCAACCCCACAGTTCACACACAAGAAAAGCAATAGAAAGACTTAACAGAAATACCTCATTGGTCATTTTGAAATTTTACTTTTAGGGCAACACCATCAAAATGCTCTAACAGAAATCTTGCTAGGATGTTCTACTTTTGCAGTGTTACAGTAAGGTACCCATGAACAGAAATTGAATCATTATAATATAGGTTGTAAAATGAAGTTATGTGTCAACTAGGAAGGACAAACAATAGCAGGAAGTATTCATAACAAAAATAACATTAGAGATGTGCCAAGTGGAACATTTCATGAAAGTTGTTATGCGAACAGGTTACAGGTATAAGAAACAGAATTAATTGATTTGTTTTTTTATGGCTTAACCTTTTGCAGGTTATTTAAAGCCAGAACATTTTTAGATTATAAGAATTGTTTTTGGGGAAAATAAAGATTTATTGATACAGGTCCTACTCATTAACCCATAAGTGGGAGAAGTGGATTCATACCATTCCCAAAGGTATTTGCGCGTAAGTGAATCTAATGAAAAAAAGTTAATATAAGCAAGTGATAAAGGTATCTTTTTTTTCAAAAATGTTGTGCACTTTGTACATGGCCCAGGAGCCTCTCAAGGTAGAACGTTACAGAGTAAGAGGCACAGTTTATGCAGATATGGAGGGAAGATAACGGTTTGCCGTCTTGAGTTCTTACTCCTGTATCTCTTTGAATGATTAAAGCAGTGTTTCCCAAAGTGGGTGATAGCACCCCCTTGTGGGCTCTTATGTTGAAAGAGGGGCACTGGGAGTTTTTTTTAATTTCATTTGGGGGGTGGTGAACATACTCAGGCAGTGGTGGGCATGTGTCCATTTTTTTCAGATTTTCAAAAATTATCCAATATTGGCTACAAAAGTAAATTTTTGAAAGTGCTGTGGAAAGCTATCAAACTTTTCTTCATTGCTTTTTCAACTTCCTATAGGACTGAATGTAGTTTCAATGCAGTTACAGAGCTTCTTACTAAACAAAGAAACCACCTGAAAATTACAAAACAAGGTGATTTACGATTACTTCCAAGAAGCATGGAACCAAGAGTAAGAACCTTAGCCAGTAAGCACTGAAGTCAACCATCGCATTGAAAACATTGAGATAAGCTATCAAATAAAAGTTTTTTTTAGGATTTTAATCATTGGCATTTCTAAAAGAAATGAAAACAGTATTAACATTTTGCACTAATACCTAAGTGTTATCTTGCTATGAAAGATGAATTCAGTATAATATTCGAAATTTAATTTGACGGAAGGCGGGGGGGGGGTCGTTGACAAAAAGTTTGTGCCCAAAAAAAAGGTTAGGAAACACTGGGTTAAAGCTTTATTTAATATCTTTTTTCTTAAAGTAGTTAAGTAGGAAGTTAATAACAGTGTTATTAAATAGCTTAATTATGCCTTGAAACCATTTGACTATTTTAATGTATCCCATAACATTACATGAGTGTTTTAATGTTGTGAATATGCTTTTGCTATTGTGGTTAATATTAGATTTTGTCATTATGGGTAGCACATAATAGTCATTGGTGTGGAAGTAGCAAACAGAGTTCAAATTCCAGCTTAGTCTGTTACATTCACTTTTGCACTGATAACCTTGAGAAAGACATGAATTCATCTTTTCTCCCCCTTAGCTATAGGTTAAATAGCAACATAACCTGGGCTCTCTAGCTTCAGATGGTAGCCAGTCTAGGAGAAAGTTAGTAAATTATATGCTATGCATGGTATACACTTAGATGATCATGTATCGTTCGATACATAACTGAAAAGGCAGATTTTTCCCCACAGTAAGTTGCCATTTCTTTCTGCTGTAGACCAGTTGCCATCCAAGGATATAGAACCTGGTCTGTTCTACTATTTATCCATAGCTGGGGGGGGGAGAGAAGAGGAGTATTTTTACTTTCCCAAGGGTATTAGCACGTAAGTGAATGTAATGGATTCAGCTGGAATTCAAACTCAGCTCTCAGATTCCTACTACTTCCAAACTGTGGAGAAGGCATGTCAAGTCATAGATAATAAAGAAAAGGAATTTGTCTAGAGCCATGATCACCTATATCTCAAAAAGGGAGAAGGTATACTCTCAATTCCAGCTCCTGGAGAAGGCAACAGGAAACTACTCCACTATCTTCCTCAAGGAGTTATAGTGATTCACAGATAATAAAAAAAAAGGAATCTGTGGAGAGCCATGATCACCTACATCCTGAAGGGACATGGCATAGATGACTACTTTGAATTCAAAACCATGGAGAAGGCAAAGGGAAACCACTCCACAATCTTTCCCAAAAAGTAATCCCAATTCACAGATAATAAAGACCAGAAAACTCTGAATATAAAACCAATGGAAAACCTCTTCACTTTCTTTCACAAGAAGTTAAGACAATTTGCAGATAATAATAAAGGAAAGGAACTTGTGGAGAACCAAGATCAGCTATGTTCTGAACATGCATCACATTAAAAAAACAAAATGAAAACAATCTGATGAGTAATGCCCTCTTGCACTTACCATCATTATTAAGTCAGTGTCCATAGCTCAAAACTTAATAGAGAAATATTTACTCCTATTTTAATAATGTCTTCTAAAGCAGACATTGTGCGAGTTCCAATTCTGCAGCCTATGGATTAATGTTTGGCAAGGAAACAAAAAAAGAAAAAAAAAAAATCATATGGAAAAAAAACAAACAAGGAAAATTAAAATCACATGAAAAAAAAAAAACCCAAAAAGAGTCAAGTGATAAAAGCAAAAGAATAAGACATTGGCTACCAAAATGCTATAATGTCCAAAAGCTTATTCTGATTTGATGCTACAATTTCTCATATGGGTGGATGATTATAAATAGCTGAACAAAAATGGTTTAATTATTAGTGGTTGGAGATAAGGTAAAAGAATTACCACTTGTGATTTTATCCAAGGTATATTTTTGTTTACAAATATCTACATAAACAAGTTGATTTCTGTTATTATTTAAGAAACACAATGGCATCTTTAAAATGTATATATTTTTAGAAGCAAGTATATTAACACAGAGCTCTTGAAACTGGTGTGTCATGACATTTAGTGGATTTAATTACATGCTCTTTAATTATTAGCTAAATTTTTCACTGAATTCTTCTTTTATGTATATTATAAAATTATATATTTGGCTTGGCAAACAAAACTTAAATGATATATCACAAAAATTCCATATTTAAAAGTGTGTCACTGATAAATTTTTTTGAAAAGCTCTGGTTTTGGGAATACTCAATGACTACTTTTGATTTGGTTACTGTCAGTCAATGTCATAAAAGCGTGAAAATAAAAATCACATAAAAATAAAATAAAGAAAGACAGTAGTCATTTCACCGCACCTATGTAATCCTGGACTGAGAATTACAATCAACTGAAGAGAACTAGTAGTGGGAGAATTCCATAGTACATAGGATTCCTTTAAGAATTTTTTTTTTTTACAGGAGTTACATGCTTAAAAAACACACACACACACACACAGACACAGACAGACACACACACACACAGAGGGTACAATGGATAAATTGTCATCTAAATTATGCAAAAATATGAATAAAACTGAAATCTCATTTTAGCAGATATATTGACCAAAATTAGACAAAAATATCTCAATATACTAAAGTGTAAATTTATTCAATAAAATTGTCTTGGCTTCAACCATGGCCTCCAGATGACTTTGGAATCTCCTGCAAATCTTCTGGACAATCTCCTTGGTTAAGTTGGTGAAGGCTGCCATAATCCTTGTTTTTTTTTTGTCTCTCGCTCAACTGTGCCCCACACAAAATAATCAAGGGTGTTGCAGTCTGGGGAGTTAGGTGGCCAGATGTAAGGGGTGATGTGGTTCTCCTGCTTGTGTAGAATGATGCAGAGTCCTGTTGCCAAACATAGGGTCTTCCAGCAGCCACCCTTTTTACCCAGGGCAGCACTACCTGCTCAAGGCATTTGATGTAGGCCTCAGTGTTGAGTCTAAGGCTCTTACCAACAAATTTAGGAGTTCTTTTCTTATCAGAATGATCAGAGTGAGTTTTCCAAGCTGCCGTACCTTCATAATTACCATTAGACCCATCTAACACTTTCTGAATTTTCTGCACTATCCTCAGATTGACACCCAAACACTCTGAAATATTCATATTGGAGCTTCTGGTGCAAATGCTGAGCATGCCATTTCCAAATTTCTGGTGAAGTGAATTGCATCACAGTGCTCTTTTTCTCACAGATGGTGCTCAACTGACCCTACTGTACTGTGCAGTCAACAAAATCAAAAACAAGCAAAATGCATGTGCAAAATTAAAAATATAAAATAGCGACAATTTAACCATTGTACCCTCTCATATATATATCTATCTATATATATATATAAGGAACAAAACAACTAACTGGTTATTGCTCTTCTGAGCTCAATTGAGGACAAAACATACATTTTTCTTACCCCACTTTGATCTAATATATTTGTATATATTTATATATACTTTTTAAATGTATGTTTTTAAAGTCATAACACATAAATTCAGTTACATGAAATTTGAATTAATTGACAAGATTACAATGTTTGTATACATTAATATATACTTTTAAAATGTGTTTTTAAAAAACCATAAT